GTCCTACCCAGTTTCTCTTTCCTTTCCTACCTGCTGCCACTCCAGGACTTAAGGCAAAGATATGTGCAATGAGAGGCGTGTGTACCCTTACCTCTACACTGAGGATACCTGTCAGAGGAAGAACCATGAAAAATGATGAGGTTGGCACAATGATGTAATTTATCCCAGCACTTGGGAGGAAGAGAAGGGAGCTTAATTGTTCCACAGGATGTTTACATCTAGCTGAAGGATGTGTCAAAAACAAACAATAACCCCCATCCCAACCCCCCCACCACCAAAAAAAGGCCTACAGTACCAGAACAAGACCTTTCCTCCTTTCACAGAAAAGGGAACTGAAGCTCAGAAAAAAATCCCGTCCAGGGCTATACTTACTCCTTACAGTAAAAAGAGCAGGCCAGTTCTCAAACTCTCAGCTCAGCCCTCCCATCTTACAATTCCAGAGACAGGTCGGAGTTTTTCATTTGCTAGAGAGAACTTCAAAGAATATGCGTGACTCCTGATACCGAATAACCCACAGCACAGACCGCCTCCAGAGTGGACACGAGGGTCAGACAGGGTTAAGCAACACCTGTACTTGGTGGCCTGGCTTTGCGATCTTTAGCAGTGGAACAATCCAGTTCCTAGAATACTCTCCTGCAAGTGCCGGCCAAAGAGCACAGCCCTTCAAGACGGGCATGGGGCCGGTGAGAGGAAAAGTACTTGGTGCAAACCCTGACAACTCAAGTTCAAACTCACATTAAGGAGGAAGGAAAGAACAGACTCCACAAAGTTGTACTTTGACTTCCAAATATGTGCCATGGCGTAGGCATGGCCCAACACACCCCTTTCTTCTCTACACACAAATATTAAAAAAGGAATAAATCACTGGAGTAAGGTGAGTCCAAGGTACCCAACTCCTGCCTGAAATGTAAACATTCCCTATGAAGGGTAGGATCCGAGCTGCTACACACCTCTGTACGAATTCACTTTGCTTTTCACCTGAAGAAACAGGGTGCTGATGAGCTTAATGTGAGACTGTGAACTGTAAGAGGAAATAGGAAGAGATCTCTGTTTTTAATGTTTTCCACCAAGAACGCCATCAGTAAAAATCAAAAATCACCCACAGCTTTCCAGGTAGTTATATATACTATCTGGTAAAACAAAGTAAATAAGCCGGGCAGTGGTGGCTCACTCCTTTAATCCCAGCACTTGGGAGGCAGAGGCAGGTGGAGTTCGAGACCAGTCTGGTCTACTAAAGCTAGTTCCAGGAAAGCCTCCAAAGCCACAGAGAAACCCTGTCTCAGGGGAAAAAAAAAAAGTAAATACAATTTACTCATTTATTAATTATTGACACTTTTCATTGATTATATTGCACTGCATAGAACAATCAAACATTGCAACACTTTTCATATTAGATGCATTGTATAAAAGGACATTGGTGGACAGGTTAAGTATGAACCCATTCCCCGAAATCCCAAGAATCAGGGCAACACGTTAGGAAAGTTGCAATTACACGCACATGAACACACATACTGGACGTTTTCCAAGTGGGAATTCAGGGTAGACAGAGAACTAGAGGAAGACCACCGAACATACTCACACACTTCGTAATTTGGGGCAGAGGACACAGTATCGCATCGCCTAGGCTGACTGACCATCAACATGCCTGAGAGCTGAGCTGGAGTCTGGGTCCTCTTGCCTCTACCTCTCAAGTGCTGAGATTACGAGCCTTCACCATCATACCCCACACACTTAATAATTCTCTCTAATTCCAGTCCTGTAGTCTGTTGTTTTCAAATGTTCACCATGAAGTCACATTACAAATTAAGACTGGCATTCGGGCAGAGAAACAGTGGGGCACAGCCACGTGCCACGGGATAAGAGTACATAAGGGAGAAACAACATAATCAGGTCACCTGAAGTAATTTCTTAATGAATACAGATGGGCACTGATGGGCACTCCTGATCCTCCAGGCCCACAGATGCTGGGGTCACAGGGCACCAATCCCTGGTCTCTTCTCTTTTAACAAGTTATCTGAATTCATGTTTGTCTGTGTGAGTATGGGCCACGTTTCTGCCTGGATACTTAGAGTGGAGTTACAGGGAGTTCTGAGCCGACTCTCATGGGTGCTAACCACTGCACCATCTCTCCAGCCCCCTTTGCTGATCTTTAGTGACGCTTCTGTATCTAGACTTGATCTGGACTGAGTGAAAGGGACAGCTAGAAGCAAAGAAACTGGCTCACAAGTGCGCTAGGTTATGAGCGGTGAGCATAGTCATGGGGGCTCCCCCTGGGCATTACAGCTCTAAGGCCACACAAGTCTATACTACACGTCCTGTGTGTCAAATCCGGGTTCTACATGAGAAAGTGAGAAGAAAAAGGCTTGAGAATGCACACTGGTTGTCAGAAGTAAACGAAGAGCACTAGCATAAGGGTACGGATGAGCTCCTGCCTTTCTAGCTTTCCTACCCCGCTTACTATGAGTCTCAGCACAGCACTGGTGTACCTGCCCATCCACACCCGGAGTAGACTCTGTACTCAGTAACACACGCAGGGAGAGGACTCTTAGGGGAGTGCCTGGACCCTGCCCTGAGTGAAATGACAGATTCTAGATATCTCCTATGTGGAAGGAAATGGCAATAGGGTGGGAGGCTGGGGGGATGATAGGGGGTGCGGGAAGAGGGGAGGGAGAGGGAACTGGGATTGACATGTAAAACAAGCTATTTAAAATTAAAATAATAAAAAAGATCTAAAAAAAACCAACAAGGTTTGGCATGGTGGAGCATGCATTTAATTCCAGCATTCAGGAGGCAGAAGTAGGCAGATTACTATGAATTTGAGGCTAGCCTGGTCTACATAGGTGAGTTCCATACCCATCAAGGCTGTCTCAAAAAAAAAATCAGCTAACCTCACAAACAACTAAAAATTAAAACTACAAACAAAACCAAACCAAATAAAACAGGTAAACCAGGTAATAACCACAGGGGGGGTAAGAAACTTTCAAGAAGAAAGAGTAACCATGAACCCCCTTTGGTATGGAAATGAATGCTTGTATTGGTATGGTTTTTCATTTATTGATACAAATTCAAGGTCAATTTTGTGATATGTATATTTCTCCTCTTGTTTAAGTATTGTGCTTATACCGATCTTTTAAAACGTAATGCGTAATTAAATACAGGCTATATAGATAGTTACTTATAATAGTCAGAACTTATAGTTAGGTAAGTTAAGTTTTCTAGATATATAGAGATAGATTTGAGATAGATAGATAGTCTTCAAACCTCTCAAAGACCTTCAGAAAATGACATTTAAAATGGTTTAGGGTTTTTCTTGACAATGAGAAATGTCTGCTCCTGGCAGCACCAATTACCTCTGAGAGGAAGATGGGCATCGAAGAAACTCGTTATGGAATTTGCTTTCGACATGGCAAGATTAGCCATTTGGGCAAGAAACTGCTCTTGCCTAGACTGCTTGACTGTTGCTGTATAAATTGGACATGCAGGACCCACAGGAAAGTGACTGCTAAACTCAAACAGTCCTTCAGGGTTCCTGCTTCATGGAAGAGTCTGCCAGACTTTCCGCAGGACACAGAAAATGACTGACGGACTGCCATTCCAGATGGACAGCTTAAAATTTCCTGCTTTGCTGAGAAGTCTTCCAGACACACTGTGGCCTATGGGCTGAAGATGGATGCCCCAACGTTACAGAGGAACGTCAGGTGACTATCCAGGCGGCAAGATGTCTCTGTCAATCCTAGTGTTTATATATTATCCTTCTGTGGTCTTTGATGGAGTTGAAGACAGATAGTTATAATCATAGTTTTCCTTAGTTATGGTAAAAGATAAGTTACATATAAGACTTTAGACTCACAAAGATAGGATAGATGATATCTTCTTTAAATCTTACTAAAATTTTTTTTTTTTGGTTTTTACAAGACAGGGTTTCTCTGTATTGTTTTGGAGGCTGTCGGTCCAGCCCGGCCTTGAATTCACAGAGATCCGCCTACCTCTGCCTCCCGAGTGCTGGGATTAAAAGCATGCACCACCACCACCGCCCAGCAATCTTACTAAATGTTAATGAACAAAATATTATAACTATGTTCTTACTTGATAACTGTTCTGTTATATATAATTTGACTATGTTAAAGTTAAAACCTTTCTTTTTATTTAGACAGAAAAGAGGAGATGATGGAAGTCCTGTGTATATGTCAATAAAGCACTGTTGGCCAATAGGGAAGCAAGATAGGTGGAACTAGGGGTTGAGGAGGACTCTGGAAAGGAGAAACACAAGGAGTCCTCATGTAGCTGCCATAGAATTAAGAGGTCCAGACACTTTCTCCGGTAAGAGAAATACTTAGATTAACAATTATGGGGTAAGTACTTAAGTCAGAGATAGCCAGTAAGAAAACAAGCAAGCGGCCAACAGCTTCATAATTAAAACACACACACACACACACACACACACACACACACACACACACGCTGGCAGGCACGCACGCAGATCCTCATGGGCCAAACATCCACTCATCCTTCCTGCTCTACCCACCTTACCTCTGCGTTCCACCCCAGCCTATCTGTCACAAGCCTGTACCCAAATACTTGCCACAAGGATCACAGGCTTACCTCATCACTGCATCCCTCACTCATCTCAGCTGGCAAAGTCCCACGCGGCGCTCAGCAGCAAATGCTTTATAAGAACTTGTTGCAGAAACGAAAGAATGGGAGGTAATCGGGGAGGAAAACTGATAGTGATCACGTGAGGACTCCCTGCTTAAAACTGTCATGCCTTCATTTTCCATTGCTAGGGAAAAATCTCGATCCCGATTTGTATGTTGTATAATAAGTTCAAAAGAAGAAACTCTGTTTTTCAATTACACACTTAAATTGGACACAGTTCAGTGGGGAGTACCGCACCACAGGAAGGAGCCAGCGCTTCCCCGAGGAAAAGGGCTAGCTAAGGAACGACCCACCACGATTCGCCTTAGCAATGCCCTGACAACCAGTGCAGGAGTGGCACTCACCTGGCTTGTTGCCTTCCCTCTCGTGGCCAAGCTGCCCCTTGGTGTTTGCACCACACGTGTAAACCTCCCCATCTTCCAGCAGGAACACCGAGTGGTTTCCTCCACAAGCCACTTCCTTGATGGTTCCGTCCGATACAAAGCGGCACACCTGGGGCTCAGCCACAATGCCTCGCAGGTTGGAGCTGATGCCTGGCTGGCCCAGGGACCAATACCCCCAGCATAGCATTGTTCTGATCCTTCAGGGAGTCATACAGCCTAGAAAATAGTTTTGTTTAAAAAAAAAAAAGAAAGAAAAAATATTTAAAAAACAAGTTTTAAAAACACCAGATGAAATCAAGTAACAAATGCAGCCAATTAAAATAACCCTCCCACGTGAGCAAAAGATGCCATAGTTGAAGAAAATGAAACAAAACCCATCACTTTTGTGATAATTAAAAATGGCGCTCTCCTAATAATCATAAAAACCCATCACTTTTGTGATAATTAAAAATGGCGCTCTCCTAATAATCATCATGCCTTGCATCTTAAAATAAAATTGTTAATGTTGTCAAAAGTAGCCATAAGTTATAAAGATGTTGTGTTGTGTTTTAGTAAGCACTTAATAAGCAGTTTTAAATAACCCCCCCTTACATCACTGAATGAACACAGAAAAAGAACACGGTTCACATATCAATGACAAGGCACAGACACTCTGCATACCACTTGTGTCAATGACAGGGAGCAATCACTCTGCACACTACCGTGTAATGGCAGGGCACAGACACTCTGCACGCCACTAGGCAGAGATGGGAGTGAACTTACCTCACATGTTCTCAATGTTCCTTCTTTCTGCATGCTCTCTGCCTTCTTTAAGAATTGTTTTAAATTGAACCAACCCTTTGGGTAGTCCTACTATTGACTCCATCAGCGGCATGGGGCCACTTGAAATAGGTGAGGGATGAGGAAACAGTATGCTCTTGCCTCTCACCCATGGAAGTAGGCCCTCTGCACAACCCAGCACGGCACGGCATCCCACTGGGCCTGCTTCCTATGACATGAGGACTCGTCTACCTGAACTGGTAGTTTCTCCTTTCCGCTCATCAAACCTAACTCCATCAGATTTGTAACCCCCTCAACAGAGACCATAGATCAATGCAGGCTTCTTCCATATAGCGCGACATCTACTTTGGCTGCCTGACTGTTGACACTAGATCCACGAGCTTTAAAAAAAAAAGTCCCCATAAAAGGATGCTTTTTCAAAAATAAATAAAAACAAAATCTCATCCCTCTCCATCAGTTCATACACACCAAGGTGACCAGATAAGGTGCAGTTCTCATATTGCTAAGAGGAACACAAAATAGTGGGCCTACTCTAGGGAAGGGTAGGGAGGGCAGAGTTGCTCTAGAGAGGGTGGGGCTGCTCGAGGGGGTGGTGGGGATGCTCTAGAAAAGGGTGGGGAAGCTCCAGGGAGTGATGGGGCTCTTGTAGAAAATGACGAGGCTGCTCTGGAAAATGGTGTAGCAGTTCTTCACAAGCTCTTTTGGCTCTTACTGCCACTAGAGTTGCAAATATCAAGCAGGTGCTTCCCCACTGAAGAAAACACCTAGTGAGCATCTCTGGTTCCGGGAGAAAAGTTCAAGATTTTTAGAAAAGAAAAGTAGGAAATCCCAAGTATGTCATTAAAAGCAGAGGATGAAGGCACACCAGTGGTAGAGAACTTCTCTGGGTCTTACACAAGATCCTGGGTTCAATCCCCAGCACTGAATACACAAAGCAAGGGAGGGTTCCTCCTCTGAGATGCCAGATGGAATAACAGGACTAAAGCCTGTCCCATGGCCACATGCCTGGCCAGAACAGAGTGGAGAGCAGTGGATTGGAGAATAGCAATGCCTAACATTGGGTTTGATGCCGCTGGTAACTAGTTTTCAGAATCCTAAACTGTCAAAGTAAAAATACGGCATCCTTACAATAAATACTTTACCAGTTCTGGGGAAATTCAGAGCTTTGGTGGGGGCGGGGGTTACAAAAAACCATAGTATTTCATGAAGGCTAAAATGAAGATTGAGGACTGTGAGGAGACCAGGTATCTTAGCAAATGACAGACAGATAAGTTTAAACACTGTTTCTTGCCCTAGAAATTCCTGACAACTACAGAAGATACCTAATCAGCAGTTTGTCATTTAAATCATTTTATTTGGATGTTAAAGGGAATCTCCCAAAGACTGGCCTTAGGAACATTTAGATTACATGTCATATTCATTTAGTTATAATATTAAATTTTCTTCGCTAACTACTTAAAGCTGTATCGCCCCCAACTGAGAGTCACTTTCAGACTTTCAGGAAAGCATCAGGACATCTGAGCTGTACTGCACACATTACAGGTGTCCTACTTAACCCCTGCCAGATTGTAAGGAAATGGCAGTCTCACTATGAATTATAGGGCTATGCACAACAACATGTAGGAACACACCACAAGGCCGGACAGTGGTGGCACATGCCTTTAATCCCAGCACTTGGGAGGCAGAGGCAAGCAGATCTCTGTGAGTTAACAGGATAGGCTCCAAAGCTACAGAGAAACCCTGTTTCAGAAGAAAAAAAAACACACACACAAAAATAAAAAAAAAAAAAGAACACACCATCAACCAATCCACAGGAAAAATTCTGGCTAACTTCTGTAAGGTTTCCATGAGCCACTAATGTGGTGTTCAGACCAACTTTATTTATATAATGCAATTATTGGAAATAATGGGAATCAACTATTCATGTGTAACGAAATAAAGCACGCTTTTGTAAAGTTTGTTGTTTAGTCACTTTTGCTGGAATTCGGTTTCTTTTCCTTTCAATAAAAGAAATCCTAACTAAGACTATTAATAACTATTTCATTAAGAACATCAAGAGGTAAGACTAAATTTGAGCTTATTCTAAGTCAAAGTCATAGGTATTAGGGTGAAACACACACACACACACACAAGAAGGGAAAAGAAACTGAGACAAGAGAGCTAAAGAGAGCAATCACAGGACCATACACACTGCAGCACAGTAGGGTTTTGAATTCAGACTCCACACTCTAGACCTTCCAATAGGGAGCCTACAATGGACTGCTGAATGCCCAGCATTCCCAAGAATCCTCAGAACTGTCCACAAAGAACTAATGCCCTGATCAATAGTTAATCTGACTATTTGATGTACTGAGGAATTACTTCCTAATAGTGTAGAGGAGTAGACAGGACTCTACCACACCAGTCACTAAATTCACCAGTCTTGCTTTGGGTTCCATGATTAACAAGCAACCTAATTATTTTTTTCTGCCAGGGTCAATTCTACAATAGTGACCAACGGAGTCTGGTATCCCAACCTGCATGGTATCTCCCTTCATTATTGTACTGGGATCCTAAGTCAATCAACTTTGGAGGAGTTTGTCTTTGAGACACAGCTGAAGTCTCAGTGCTCTGGGGTAGTATAATCCTACATGAACAGCCTAAAGCATGACACCTTCAGAGGACTAGCAGAATTGCTTTAGGATAAAAGTAATAAATGAACAAGAAAACTTCGAAAACTTCACCTCTGTTGACCAAGAAACATTCAAGTAGCCAAGTAAGATTTTCTTACCAAGAGAATTAGACAGCAGCCACAAACAGCAGGCATCTCTGTAGATGAGTATTCCCTAACTGGGAATGTGGCTGAGGTCATCGTAATGTCTCAGAATGGCAGGAGAGGGCACTACAACCATCTAGTTTTCAGAAAAGAAGTGCAGTGTGGAAAAAAAACTGGGCATGATGGTGCATGCCTGTAAAACCCAGTATCTGGGTGGCTAAAGCAGGAGGATCATGAGTTTGAGACCACCCTGGGTAACACAGTGAGACTCTGTTTCAAAAGGGGGAGGACGACCACCTCCCCACCATCAATTCAGCGTTCATTCACATGCATGCTCTAGTTGAATCCCTAAGGCTGGTTGCTGCCAATGTCCCTGAACTTAACCTCTAGCTCAGCCATGCTCTGTGCATCACTGAACACTGATACTCTGGCTTTTCTCATCCATTTTTCTACATTTACTGCCTCTCCCTTGCTCTCAGAGAAGATTCTTTTCTTTCCCTTCAAAGTACACAATTACAGAATCTGTGACAGAAGACAACAGATCTCCACCCCTGGCTTACACCTCCTCCATCCCAGCCTTCACTTCCAGCCTCTCATTCCTTGCATCAAACAACAGAAGCAGGGTGGCTTTCAAAGGACAACTTTCTCCGCGTGTCACACATGGCACGTTCTCCCTTTCCTAATCGAGTCTTGGTAAAAGACTGATCCTCTGAATGGTGGTTAGCTCGTCCTGGGTTAACCACACTCTATCTGGAAAGCCTGGAGGAGGGAGTGCAGAGACCCAGGTCTAATTGTCTTTCTCTGTAATGTAGAGGAGTCACGAAGTTCTACGGTGATATATGTAGAAAGGGCTCAGCACTGTCCTAGGGCAGTAAATGGACATCAGGCATCACTATGATTCCTACAAGGCCTGGTGCTCTCCGTTAAGGACTCTGCAGATAAGATGGTTCCAGAATAGGCTGAGGTGTCACTCCTCATCCCCTTGGCCGAGACCAGCATTAGCCATGTCCTGCCAAGTCTGCACCAGAGCAAAGCAAAGCTGCCAACACAGCCGTCATTTCACAGGGTACTTGAGGTTACTAGAGCTTTCCGGGTGTTCTTTATGCTCTGGACGGGAAAGGTAGACCGATCTCTCCCTACCAGTCCTAGTGAGTGAGCCAAATACCGAATGGCAACCTCCATCTCCTACACCATCTTAACACCAAGTTCCCAGCAGCCTAACAACTGACTCTGACTCCTCTGGAAGTCACCGACACCTAAATAACATTCAGGAAGGACTCATAATCTCATTAAATAATAAGACTTCCTTTCAAATATGCTCAGCAGTAGACCATGAATGGTGGTGTGTGTGTGTGTATGTAGGACAGGCCTTGCAAAAGGATTCAGTCAGTGCATTGCAGGTACGCTCCAAACCCAAGCGTCAAAGACATTTTGAGACAAAATACAAACATAAGTAACAAAATGCATCCTAATGACATGCTTTATTATTAAAACCCATGCTACCAGCAAGCGTAGCATTAAAGGCAAACAAATGTTCAACAGACTCCCTTCTGTGTCCTCCTTATCCTTTGCTTCAGTGTGACTTGGTCCTCTGACCCTTTGAGTCACCATACAAAGCATTCGTGCTCCTGCTCATCACGTTCTTTCCCATGATGCCTCCTTCACTGTCTGGCACCAGGCTTTGTGAAACTGCACAAATGAGAGGCTCTCTGTGAGAGCTGTGGGCTGACTTCACAAGACACCCAGCCAGCCTGGCAAGAATCGGAAAGTCTGGTAACACCAAAACAGCTCTTACTCACAGCTAATGAGTGTCAACTGCCACTAGCAACTCTGAAAAACAAGTTGGCATTTTCTAGCAAAGATATGGAAATGTGAATACCGCACAGCACAGTCCAGTCGTTTTATTCCTGAGCCTTGGGACAGACTGTCCAACTCATTAAGAATCTATGGTCTTCCTGCAAGAGCAGAGACAGAGACAGCAAAACCTGAAAACTTGGAACTTGCGGCAGTGCCGAAATACTGCGGGCTGGCACTGTCCACTACAGTGATTGTGCATCCAAAGTGTGTCTAATACAACGGAAGAACTGAAATTTCAATACTGTAATGCTACCTGATTTCCATTTGACTATAAGTGAGCGTACTGGCCACTGGCCACCTGACATACAATGCAGTGAGAAATTCACTAACCTAGGCATCATGATATACATGTAAGAATTTCATAATTGCTAGAAATAGGGAGAAAAAGAAGAAACGCTGAGTACGGTGGTGCATACCTGTGAGGTATCCCGAGAGGATTTTCAGGGCAGAGACAAGAATGCTTTGTGTGATGGTGAAAAGGTAATCTCAGCATCTACAGAAGCAGGAGGATGAGGGTTCATGGCCAGCCTGGACTTTATGAGACCTGTCTCAAAGGAAACAAAGTATACCACATATATAAAACAGAATACTGTATAGCAGTTAAGATAAACTAACAGTACCACTGAGTCTTAGGAACAGTCTTGAGTTACAAAAGAAATCAGAATATGATACATTTTTACAGGGTTTAAATACTGTATAACAAACACATTGTGGTAGTAAAGGTATGAATTAAAAAAAAAAAAAAAGCCCTTCACAGACCCTTCTGTGTAGCATCACAGGTAGGGGGAAGCCGAGATGCAATACATAGGAGGAGCTCCAATTGAAGGACGATTCTCTGCCTCTGTTCCTGCATTTCTCAACACACACACACACATCACCTGCATTGCTTTACAATACAAATATTGCACAATGTAGAAAACACTCCGTTAAGGCGTGTTGCACTTCCAAGAGACTCCCTCAGCAGCCTATGCCCACACAGACAGCAGCCTCCATGGAGGAACAAAGCTTCGTCCATCTTTAATGTCTCCTGTTCCCAGCAATATGCAAGAGCACAGAGTGAAGCCACACTTTCCAGCTATGTTTTCCATGCTGGATGTGGCTGATTGAGTCTCTGTTCCTAACAAAAGTAACAATGTATTTCTCCATTTAAAATGGACCCCTGCGTCTCAGCAGATTGAATGGGAAATGCCTTTAACAATGAAGCTGTCATTAAACAGAGTGGATCGAGATCCCCTGCCTGGGTAAGCAGGCTTTTTTTCCCCCATTAACTGAAATTATACACGTGTACATATGTGCACAGGAACACATGCACACATACTGCTATACTTCTACAAAAAGGAACTGGTGTCCCCCAGACTGTTCAGAGCCATTGGGCTTTTCATATGGAAACTACCAGAGGCCCCAGAATTACAGGTGTGTGAAAACATACCTGGCTTTTTAAAGTTCATTTTACTTTTTGAGCCAGGGTTGCTCTGTAGGCCAGCCTGGGATGACTGTGGAAAACAAGTTGGTATTTGCTAGTGAAGACAGAGATGTGAGTACTGCACAGCAGAGTTTTATGCCCAGGCCTATGGCCAGGCTGTCTAATTCATTAAGAATCTAACTCACTTAGCCGGGGCAAGCCTAGCACTCAATATACGGGCCAGACTGGCCTCAAGCTCATGTTAATTCTCCCGCCTCAGCCTCTCAAGTGTTAAAATTAAAGACATAAGCCACCACAGCTGGCAGATGGGTGATTTTTGTTCATTTGTGTTTTGCACTACTGGGTACTGAACTCGGGGCTATACCATGAGTGACACTGTCATCTAGACCTTCTCCATGGTTGCTTTTGAGTCTTGCATGTAGTCCAGGTTAGTCTGTGACAACCATCCTGCCCTAGCTTCCCTGGGAGGGGTATGAATCACCATGCCCAGCAAGGCCCTAACATCACACACATATACACACATTACAGGGGAGAGACAGACAGACGGGAGAGTGGACGGGGACACACACACACACACACACACACACACACACACACACCAAGAGGCAGGTAGCAAGCACACAAATATGCTACAATTTAGAGAATAGAATTCTGGTTCTCCGTGTAGATACAAGCCTGAGACTCTTTTGTTCATTTCTGCAACTTTCGAGATCAGATTGGTGTCCTGTACTTAGTAGGGCATGTGCTGGATAGTTTCACGTCAGCAAGACATAAACCAAAATCATCAGAGAAGAGGGAACCCTCTATTAAGAAAATGCCTCCATAAAATCAAGCTGTAGGCATGCCTGTAGGGCATTTTCTTAATTATTGTAGGTGGTGCTCCCCTGGGCAACTGATCCTGGATGCTGTGAGAGAGCAGGCTGAACAAGCCCCAAAGCAGCACCTTCCATGGCCTCTGCATCAGCTCCTGCCTCCAGGTTCCTGCCCTGACTTCCTCTGAAGATGAACTGTGATGTGGAAGCAGGAGCCAGACAAACCCTGTCCCCCTCAATTTGCCTTTGGTCATGGTGTTTCATCACAGCACTTGTAACCCTAACTAGGACAGGGCTCAGGAATAATTTCTGAACAAAGAAAAAACGATGCTTGCTGCGACTGCAAACCTGACCTGGGTCTAGATCTAAATACTTTCTTTCATTTACCCTCCGTCAAGGCGAGGATCTAGAACAGCCAGCACAGCTGGTGGGAGGGTAAGTTGGCAAAACCACTTTAGAAACCTCAAGATTAGCAAGATTAAATCACTTGCCCAAGAACATGTAAATAAGTAGCTGAAATAGAAACTTCCTAAGTCAAAAGGCAGAAATTCAAATTTCCTCCACTAGACTAGAAGCCATACTCTTTAACATGACGCTCAACTATATTCTCAAACAAAAGGAAACCAAATCACGGAAGCCATACCCTCTCTAATATCGTAAATACGGGTTTAAAGACAAAGCTGCAGGTGATCAAAATACATCATAAATCTAGAAAACTTTGAGAATGAAACCATTGTGACATGTAATTAGCATATGCTAATAAAACATTTCAAGAGGAAATATGAAAAGGCAAAGGTGTGTGCAATAAGTGAGCTCGTATTCGCTAAATCATCGGTGATTATACAACCAGAACTTAAGCCAGCCAGAGGGAGAGGGGGAGTGAACAAGTCTCCATAGAATTAACCAGACTGTCCTCCACAACCTTGACTCACGACAAAACCAGCTCCTTTACACAGAAACGCACACCCTTAGCACCAGCAAGTATTTCTGAATGCTCTAACTGTTAGAGAGAGCAGGGTTGGACTGTCGTCAGCAGGGCCATCTGAAGGGAAACAGCCTTTCCAATCCATGAGAACCGGCTGCTGAGAGCTTCAGGGCCAAGAGGCAATGGTTAAGTGGCTACAGAGCAAAGTGCACGGCCTGTGGTCCAGCACTTAAGAGCATGGATGCAGGAGGTTCAAGGCTGCTGCCAGCTACGGAGTGAGTTCAAGGCCAGACTCAGCTACAAGAAACCACCCCTTACAATGAAGGGGGAGGGGGAAGAAGAAGAGGAAGAGAGGAAGGAGAAGCACAGCCCAGAAACTAGGTCCCCTACTTTCTGGACTCACCTTCACTACCTCAAAGCAAATGAAGATGTGTTACTGTCTCTCACCGAGCAGCTATGTAAGTCTGAGCCGTCACATAGTTTTGTTTAATCCTCTTTATCAGCTCTGTGCCTTAGATAGTATCTCCACTTATTGCCCTCCCTTCGGACAGGACAGACTAAGGCTCAGAGGACTTAGGTTGACGCATGCACCCCTAATCATCATACACTAGGCATTTGGACTGGAAGTCAGAACTGTCCCACTTCACCATGGGGTGTTATGTTAAAGAAAATAACATCAGAACAGGACTCTGCAAAGTGCTTAAAAACACAAGGCCTGGAGTGGTGGTGTAGACCTGTAATTCCAGTGCTTACAAGGCTGAGGCAGGAGGATTACTGAGAGCTCAATGCACACCTGGACTATATAAATGAGAGGTCTACACTGTATATAGCACGACTCCATCTCCAAAAGAAAAGAAGGGTAAGAGTAAATGTCTGACAATAAGAATACCTTTAACCGCTCGAGACTGAACGTTCTCCAGGGTATCTCAAGGAGGGTTTGGTTAAGATCACCTAAAACCAACCTTGATGAAGTTAGTCATCTTTAGTGTGAACTAGAGCCATAAGGAGGGTCTTATAAAAATCTGGTCATTTAACGGGGGCAGTAAAAAATACTTTCAAATAAACTCTCATTTAGACTGGACAGAAATTATGGAAAAACAATTCAGTTTTGCTGTTCATTTCCCCAGGGATCTTTCCCAGCTACCTTACTGCAACCGCTATAGTACTCTCTACTTTCCCGTCTCCCAGCTTAACTATATCCTCTACATGCAATACCAGAAGTCCCAGACGGGCACCTCCAGTCACCCAAATAAAGCACTACAGCAGCTATACTGGTCGGAGTCACCACAGCTGCCATAGTCCTGCATGAGTTTCAGACATCATTTCTACCTTCTTATACAGAGAATCCCGCTCGATTAGGAGACCCTCACTTTTATTCCTGCATGAGTTTCACACATCATTTCTACCTTCTTATACAGAGAATCCCGCTCGATTAGGAGACCCTCACTTTTATTCCTGTATGAGTTTCAGACATCATTTCTACCTTCTTATACAGAGAATCCCGCTCGATTAGGAGACCCTCACTTTTATTCCTGCATGAGTTTCACACATCATTTCTACCTTCTTATACAGAGAATCCCGCTCGATTAGGAGACCCTCACTTTTATTCCTGAAACTGGTGCAAAGCCATCTTTTGTCTCCAGCAAGGGTGCTACTTTCATTTTGTACAAAGATGTTTTTAAGTGATTATACAAAGAGATTCAAATTTGTCCCGCATCATGAAATGCAACACCCAGTGACTTCTCCAACACTGTTTTAGAACATTTTGGGACTCCTACTTCTTTTTTTAACACAATGAACGACCACTACTTACTGAACAAGTCCAACTGGGTAGTAGTGAGCCATGCTTCTATTTTTTTCATGACAAAGGAGTTTTGCATATAATTTGATTCCTGCAGTTTAACTTCTCTGATAGGGTCAAAACTGGAGTACATAATTCACCTATTTTGCTTTTCTGGTCTATAACGCTCTCCTTCTCCAAGAAAAGGAAATACCAAAAAGGATTGCACTGTAATAAGCCTCAGAATGTTACCATACTGCTTTCGCTGCATTTAAAAATGCTAATCCTCCTTTGACTTCGCTTACCTTTCTTTCCATTCTGAAGCTTAAAAACCAGTTCACTTTATCAAATTATCAAAAGAAAGGGTCTAGAAATAGCTTCCTATTTGTGGAAAGAGCCAGAAGGCACATAAAAATGGAAGATATCACTTGAATCGTCCTCCCCGCAAAGCACCCCCGGATGAGACAAACCCCAGCAAAATCCTTGCTGTCTTAGGTAAGAATGTAATGTACTTCCTAATGGGGCCGATGTGAACTCTAAAGTAATCTAGAATCAGAAAACAGCCTGGAACAGCAAAGTTCAAGCACTGGTCCCCGGGGGCCAGGCTTGCACACGCTGCTCACGGCAGCCTCCGTGACTAGCCTCCCCAGGTTCAGCCCTTCGGTTCACACACCTGCTCCTCGGTCGGTCCAGCCGTCGGGTCGGCCTCAGCACGCCTGCACCAGAGCCCGGGTCCCCGAGCCCCGCCCGCCAGCTGGGTGGGAGGAGCCGGCGGCCAGCCGCAACGCGAATTCCCCTGCCGCCGCGCCGCTCTTCACGCAGGGAGGTCACCCGCGGCCCGCGTCCGAGCTCGGGGCGGGGAGACGCCTCCGCGACCGGGAGCTGCGGACAGCCCAGCACCCCTCCCCGGCGGGTGCAGCGCCGGCTCGCTGCCCCGGAGATCGCCGCCCCTCCCGCACCCCGGTTCGCAGCGCCCACCCCGGCGACCGCAGCCCTCCGTGCCGCTCGGGCCTCCCCAGCCTCCAGCGTCACAGTATTAATGAAGTTTCCCCGCACTCCCGCGGCCGCAGAAGGAGCGGCCAGAACGACTTCCCGCCTGGCCAATGGTGGCGGCGGCAGCGGGGCGGGGCGCGGCGGGTGCGGAGAGGGCGGGGCGACGTCGGGACGGGAGGGGACCGGGAGGGGGCGGGACCTAGGGCGCCGAGGTACCCGAGAGGTAGCCGTGAGGTGGTGGGGACCCGCAGCTGGGACGGGGTAGGGAGGTGGCAGGACCCAGGACCGGCTAGTGGCGTGGTAACCTTTCCAGGAGTGAAACTGACTTTCGCCGGATGGGATGCAAAGGAACGATGTCCATTGGGGGTGGGAGTGGCAGATCTGCTGTTTGCTTGGTTGGTTGGTCTTTTTTTTGTTTTTTGGATTTTTTGTTTGTTTTGCTTTTGTTTCTGAGGGGGTTAGGTTAGAGTTTGGTTCTCGACCTAGGTTCTTATTATTCATGCAGAGGTGAGAGATGGGAGCCTGGCAGCGTGAGCTGGGGGGTGACTGCCAGGCTGGTGGTTCCGAACCTGGTGTCACTCAGGGACCAAGGTCTGCGGGCAGGCAGTGGTGCACGGAGAGAGGCGGGACCAGAGAGGAGAGCACACTGCAGAAAACTCAGCATGAGAGTCACCATCCTGAAGTCATGCACAAAGCACAACCTTTGGTCTAAAACCCCAGAAATGGGGTGGGAGGGAGAAAATAGAAATTTCAGCTACACTTTTCCAGGCTTCAAAAATGACCTCCAAGCTTCTTCCTCTCCTAAGGCCACAAATGCCCTCAGACTTGGGCACAGGGAGGGGGGGGGGCTTCTCATTTTCAAATTATCTTTTCAAGAAAATTTTGTGACAACAGTGAATTCATGTTTCTGTCTGCCTTTGATTTGAAACTCTGAACATGGAGCTTTAACCCAAACAAATGTACAGAATTCTCAAAGAAGTAATGAAAAAAATGAAGGCATGATTATGGATATCCCTACATGGTTATCCACACCAGCTGGTCAGGCCCAAGAGCAAATGCCAACAAAGAACATTAAATAGATTCCCCAGTGCAACCTGACCTGTTCATACAAATGCAACAAGAATAAAGAAGCTGTGTATTTGATGGGGATACATGAGAGAGGTATGAGGGACAGTAATGATATAATTTTATTTTGATTAAATTTTAAAAAAGAAAAATGACTATAAGTGAAAGAAATTTTATAATTTACATTTCCAGAATAGTTCTTCCCAAAACCATTCAGCTCACATCAGGTCTTTGTCACCTACTTCGAAAACCTAATAATTGACTAACAGAAAGCAAAAGGCTCAAGGACTGATGTATCCCTAGGGTAAGGCTGAGGACTGATGTATCTCGATGTGGCAGTGCCCTGATGCATTCTACGGATAAGGCAACTTTCGCTGCTTGTGAAAACTGAAGCACCATGCCCACCAGGAAGATAAGGAAATAGAATCTCTCTTATGGGGTAACTGAGGTCATCTAGTACAAGGGTTCCTGAACTTTCTCACTTGCAGCCCCCCTCTGCCCCCAAACTTTTACATGTAAATAGGTAAGGACGGTATTGAAATCATAATGGATTTTACTTCAAAATGATTCTTTGTTGTTATACAGTTTTACCATTTGTTAAAGAGGACAGAAAATGAGCACACTTAGAGAACTGGGTGTGCTCATTTATTTTACACGAGGAATTAAACCTTGCCGAATGCCTGTTACTTCAGGACAGATAACAACGTCAACATTTTCAGAATTAGACACTTTAATTCCATAAGCTGCAATGCTGAGAAAGCTACTTCACATAAATACATAGTAAAAAAAAATAGCAGAAGTGTGTTATGTTTAAGACCATTTCTGAAAGGATGAGAAATTGTTCTGATTCAAAGTCAAAATTCATTTAATTTTTTTAATGAACCTTATCAGCAACTCAGTTTCCTTTTTTCTTTTCTTTTTTTTTTTTTTTTTTTTGGTGTTTCTGAGACAGGGTTTTTCTGTGGCTTTTTGGAGGTTGTCCTGGAACTAGCTCTTGTAGACCAGGATGGTCTCCAACTCACAGAGATCCTCCTGCCTCTGCCTCCCAAGTGACAGGAGTAAAGGCGTGCACCACCACAGCTCAGCACAACTCAGTTTCTTAAACATTCTCCCACAATCCAGTCCAGCGATACAGTAACCTAACACTACCCAGCTTAGGAATGACAGTAATATCAAGTCTTTGTTCTGCATAATTAAGCCATTTTGTTTTATAAGAAGAGAAAATTGTATTGTGGAAAACAAAAACACAAACCAAAAACCACCGCAGTTCCTTACACTATGTAGTCTTAAGACCTGAGCTTTTGGTGTCTAAGGTGTTTAAGGCAGCCTTGATGGATGATGAGTTAGGTATGACATTATGCTTAGTGGTATGAAAATGTGAGCAGTCCAAAGCATATTACTGTGTGTTCAAAACCAAAATTCAGTGAAATATGAAATAGTTATGGGGGTGCTGCTAGGAACGTATCTTACTCATTGGCTTTTGATTTAATTTCTGGTCATTGCACATTCAGAAACAAATTTTTCATGACCCTTACATTCAGTGATGTGATTCCATATGAGATTGAGATTCATGGTTTTAAAAGCTGTGGTCTAAAAAGAGAAATAAATAAATTACAAACCTTTGAAAATTGAATCACAAAAGCTGCTCTTTGAAACACTGGAAGCAAAAGTAATCCTCACCCATTCTCCAGATGTGTAGCAGTGGTGGAAAAGCTCCACCAGCTACAAAGGTAACACATGCAATTTAGAAATGACACCACTAATAAGAACGGCGTAAATGGCCAAAGAGAACTTATGGCAATCCAGAGTATGATCCTATTTCTTGTGTCAAATAAAAAGTTTGTAATCTCAATTTTTGTTGGTGTATTTAGTCTATGGATCTAGTCAGTTATGTGTAAAATTTCACATTGATGAGAAAGGGTGGTTATCAAAGTCAAGCCCAGGGGTGAGGTAGAAGTGATGTCTAAATAACCAAAGTGCTGTAAGCTTCCTTATAAAATGGCCGAAATTGTAGGAACTTTATTACATATGGAATAGTGAAAAGACTGTATTTTCACTTCTTTTATTTATTTATTTGTTTGTTTGTTTGTTTGTTTGTTTTCCAAGACAGGGTTTCTCTGTATTGCTTTGGAGGCTGTCCTGGAGCTTGCCCTGTAGACCAGGCTGCCTTCAAACTCACAGATATCCACCTGCCTCTGCCTCCCAAGTGCTGGGATTAAGGGAGTGAGCCACCACTGCTTGCCCACCCCCCTGCCTGCCAAAAAAAAAAAGTTCAGAAAGACAAATGCTGCATGTTCTTCCTTAGATGTGGGCCCTAGCTCAGGTTTACATGTTTAATTTGGAGTGTCTGTGGAGGCCAGAAAGTTTGAGGGCCCATGAGAGGAGGGAAGGAAAGAGGCCTTATGTGTGGGAGCGACTCTGGAGCAGATGATATATGAAAGTGAAAGAGAATACTGGGAGGGGGGATGATTTAAGTGGAGAAGGGAGAAGGAAAATGTGGGAGAGGGCCTACAAAAGCTAAGGATGCATGAAAAAAACTATGGAAATCCTTGTAAGCTGATTAAAACATATAACAACAACAACAATAATAATAAAGAGAGCTTGAATAGACGTGCCCAGCAAGTGTGGATGCTGCTGCTCCCAGAAGCCATAGGTCATTCAGTGAAAATCCAAGGCATGTGACACCTCCGCGTGGGTCAATCAGGGGGGCTCCAGAGGATCTCAAACAGTATACATTATTGTCATTGCTTTTGTTTGCCACAATGCTCGGTGATAATACCCTGTTGCTGAGGACACCACATATTTTATTATCAGGACACACAGAAATCGAACTGGAAGCTTTCCTTCTGCTGATTCATTTTTAGGGTGCCAGATGGTGCTATGAAGGCCACTGGGGTCAGGGGAGTCATCAGTGACCTTAACCAGAAGAAGACCCTGCATGCTACAATACCAACATCCAAGCTAGATGTGCACATTGGTATAGGAGCGGCATAAATGTTATAGGGGTAAGCAACAGCTTTCTCATGAGATACGGGGTCTACATCACAGGAAGAAATTCATCCCTGCTTTTGTAAGACTGGTCAAGAACTCACGCTGGAGAAGTCACAGCCCTTCAGGGGAAACTACTGCTATTGTTTTTGCCAAGTGGTCATGTCAAACTGTGTTATACATGTTCTGGTTGAAAGGAGAAATGTCCCCATAGTCTCGGGCGTTAGAATACTTGTTCCCCAGTTAGTGCCACTGTTTTGGGGAGGCTTCGGAGATGTGGCCTTTCTGGAGGAAGTATGTCATGGGGGTGGGCCTTGAAAGCTTAAAGCCTTGCCTACTTCCACTTCACTCTCTAAGCTTCGATGTTGCGAGCTCAGCACAAAGGTCCACAGGCCCACAAATCTCCAGGGAGACAAGGAATGTTAAGCATGCAGGATAGTCTTTCCAAGGGCAATGATGGAAAACCTGTTCTTCCACCCAGAAAACTGGGTACTGGAAGTGATAAACAGCCTGGTGATCTACATTATCTGTTGGGCCAGGCCATAGAAAGCTCCTAAAACCAAGACTGGAGGTAGTTAGTAAATATGACCCTTGAGTCAGAAACTCCCCCAAACTCCAACAACCAGGACCAGAGGTAGCTATTAGTCCAAAATAACCTCTATGATATCTGTATGACCAAGACCAAGCCAGATCCTTCCCTAGACCCTAGCTATACAAGGTAGCTTACCTCTATAATCCATCTTCTTGGAAGAAATGACCTGTACCCTAAGTCGAGTTTCAATAAAACCTTGCTTCCTTGAGCATCAATGGTTGTATTTCACAAGGAAACTTTTTTTTCTAAATCATACTGGACTTAAATATATTGGGAGTACACCACCTGATATCAGATTCCCTGAAGTCTTGATCCAAATTGATGAAGACAATCTGAGCCGAGTTTTCATTCTCATCTCTTCGTAGTCACTACCTTGCCATAGCCACCTTCAGGGGTCCCATCACTTGGTGATTACAGTAAAGGGTGTGAGATCTCAGCATGCTAGCAGCTCCAGCCACGGGAACAGCCACTTGCTACCCTGT